ACGTAGCTACCTTGAATTCAGATTAGGTCAACGAAGTTCAATCATCAGGTAAAGAGATTTGGCTTTGCCCTAGCCAACTGGGTGTTTCCTGCAGGGAGGGGAACTAGCAGCCAGCACACCCCAGTCACCTTCCGGGGACCACATGCACCACAGTCACTCCCAGCCCTGTGCCTTTGCATGCAGCTTCTACTCTGCCCGACTCCACCTTGTTAACTCCTTCAAGCTCCAGTTCAGGCATCTGCTCAGGGAAGACTTCCCCGAAGATCCCATGTTTCCTCTGTCATAGCATTTGTCTGACTGTATGTATTAAATCTATCTGTCTTCTTCATTTGGAGAAGGCAATGGCACCCCACTCCAGTACTCTTGCCTGGAAAATCCCATGGACAGAGGAGCCTGGTAGGCTGTGGTCCATGGGGTTGCTAAGAGTCGGACACGACTGAGCGACTTCACTTTCACTTTTCACTTTCATACACTGGAGAAGAAAATGGCAACCCACTCCAGTGTTCTTGCCTGGAGAATCCCAGGGACGGGGGAGCCTGGGGGGCTGCTGTCTATGGTGTCGCATAGAGTAGGACAGAACTGAGGCGACTTAGCAGCAGCATCAGTCTTCTTCATTGGGCTGCAAAGGGTGGGCACTATGTCTTATTTAGGCATGTACTAGGTCCATGGGCATGTATAACTTGATATACAAAATGCCCAGTACATGAATGCAGGAACCAATGTTACTATTACTGATGATAATAAAACATCAAAATTAATGATAACATTTGCTGCCTATGTGCTAAGAACCCCACATTCACTTAGTTATTCCGGCCTGAAACCTCAGTCCCATCCTTGACTGCCCCTTCACCCTCTCTACCCATATCAGTGTGTCTGAAAACCTACCCATGGTACCTAGTAGGTAGTCCTCAAATCTGTATTTCTGTCTCCCAGCACTGCATCTGCCTTGTTCCAGGCCAGCACGGTCTCAGAAGAGATGACTGTAACAGCCTCCTGTGGTCTCTCTGCCTCCAACCTTGAGACCTAGAAGGTTTGACCTTAGTGGCAGGTACCATGATGTTCTGGGTACCTGGGGGCTGCCCATAGGATTCTGGGAGTAAGAAGACTCCTATGAGAAACAGAAATTGTTAGGGAAATTTGTGATCAGCAACAAGGTCTGCTTTTTCTCTGTGTTTTTAGCCTACCATTTGGCTGAGCATCTAATGTGTGGCAGGCATTAGTCATATTATATATATTATTTGACTTAATTGTGCAATAACCCCCAAAAGGTCAAGATTATTACTCGACCATTTGACAAATATGGAAACTGGGGCCTGAAGTGTTTAAATAGCTTGTCTAAATGCAAGCTAAATGGTTGCAAATATAAGCCAAATTTAATTGGAACCCCAGCCTATCTGACTCTGACATCAGAGTTTGGGGACTATATACACACTGGGTGAGGAGGATGAGACCTGTCACTGTTCTTCTCTGTCTCTCTAAAGCCTAGAACAGCTCCAATCATCCTCCTCAAACAAAAACTTCCTCCACTAATGTCTTCCTGGATTAGACACCACTGCTGGGGTCATTAACTGCCAAAGTCCCCCTGAGAGAAGGTGCAATTGGTCCCTAAGTTGGAGAAAGAGATGATGGGTGGTCGGAGATGTGGTGATGGGGTGCCAGAGCCAGAGTGGGAAGACCACAGAGGACCACAGAAAGGAGAAGAGAAGGGAGGGGATGTGAGAAGCAGGCTTTGCCTCCTTCTCCGTGTCTCTCAGGATCGGTGGCACTGTTGCCTGGGCCTCGTCCTACCCTCTTTGGAGCCGCTGCGAGCCTAGGTGTACAGAACCATCAACACATCCTGAGTCATGGAAGCTTGAAATGATCAAATTTTAGAATCACAACATCATGCAGTTCTAGAAGCTTTGTTGTCTCATGATATGTAGGCTCTCAGCAGCTTGGAATTCTCAAATCTTAAGTCTTAGAAACTGAGAACCTTGGAGTCTTAGAATGTTGACATCATGGATTCATAAAGTATCTGTACAGAAAACCTGTGAAGATCAGAGTTCATGCCCACTCCTTATTTTGAAGATGGGAAAGTGAGGCCCAGAGAAGGGAAGCAAGGGTCTTTCCTCAACATCACACAGTGAATTCGTGGCATAAGGAGCTAGAGCCCCTACCAGCCAAGCGCAAGGATGGGGCGAGTGCCAGAGCTGCATGATGGAGGGAGCCTGCAGTCTTGCCAGTTCCTCCTCCTGCCTGGTTTTGGCGTGGCCTTGGGCACTCACCTCCCTAGAAGAGGGAGCTCCAGGCAATGCCACCCTTCCTTGTGCTTCTCACCTTGGAGGGCATGGTGGGGTGGGGATTGTGGCTCCTGGGGTTGAGGGACAGTTTGCCAGGCCCCCCATATTCTTAGCTGCTGCCAGGTCCATCAGTGGGGGGAAGGGGCCTCCTGACCTGGGCATGAGCTGATATATTCTCTCTGTCTTCACACTCTGAGCAGGCGAGGGGAGGGAGTGGGGGTGCCAGCTGGCACAAGGGTCAGGCTGCAGGGCTGTCCCAGGAAAGGTGGGACAGGATTTCTTCAACAGCAAGGCTAAGTCCTAAGGCTGCAGCAGTGTTGCAATTGCGCCCTTTCCTGGTCGGGGGAGGGGACTGAGGAAGAAAGACATTATTCAATCCTTGGAGAGTTGGGCTGGCTCTGACAAGCACCCCAGCTGGGCCTGTGTCCTGCCCTCTCTGCCAGCGGAGGCTGAGAGATAAACACTGTTCATTTGATACGGGCCAGCCGGGGCCTTGCTGGGAATGGGATCTGCTGTCTGATCCCCCCTCTACTTTGTGGGGCTGAGGAACAGATGGGGAGTAAACCAAGCCATGGTCCTCAGTGGCCCCCAAAGCACAGACCCTGAGGGCATCATGGCCATGGCCTCAAATCTTTGTTCTGGGAAACCCAAGTGGCATAACAGAAGCAGTGCGGGAAGCCGAGGAGGCTGGTCTTAGCTTCTCACAAGGCAACTTTCTAAAGGTTAAGAATGGCCCTTAAAAAAAAAAAAGAATGGCCCTTAACTCCTGTCCTCCATCCCAGCCCACCCTCAACGTGGAGGGGGAATTCCTATCTAGAGGGTGAGCAACTCCTGCTACTGTACTGTTTTCGATGCTCTGTGATTCTGCAGAGTTTAAGTGTCTAAGAGAATGATTCAGAAAGTGTGAGACTCTAGAAAGTGTACAGGACAGAGGCATGGAGAGCAACCTCTAGATTCTAGATTAATAGAGGACCAAGAAAAAAATTTGGGAAAGGGGGAATGGTGGCCAGTGGGGACAAGAAACCTCGAGGCCCTGAGTTTGAGCAAAAAACCATAGCAGGTGAGGTGAACTGAAGGGAAGTCTACTTGGGAGCATGGGTTCAAATCGATAGCTGGGTGGCCTCAGGCAAGTCAACTTGGTCTTTGCAGCTCCTCAGTTTTCTCATCTAGTTTTCTTACAATTAACAATTTTAAGTAACAATCCCAATGACCCTGCCAAACTGCCTTATCCTCTTGAATCTGGAACAGATGATAATGTCCATCCAGCAGGGTCATTGTTACCATAATTGTCATAATTATAGCATTCAACTATGTGTCAGGAACTGGGCTAAGTGAGCATTTTCCAAGCATTATATAATTTAATTGTCAAAACATTGATGCTAATAAGATAAGTAATTTATATAAATAGAATGTCATCGATAAACATTGGTTCCTTTCTCCAAATTTCAATCTCATTTAATTTAGTATGTCTTTACGGACACTTAGCTTGTGCTGGGCCTTCCAGGTTCCCCCCTAAAAGAGCTTAGATTATTCTTTATGTAATGGAGAGTTTTTTGTACAATGATAGCATCCCTTCTCTGTTGTAAAGATCATGAGGTACCTGTATGCAGGAGGGTTGGCAAGGGATAAGGCCAAAGGAAGAGGGGCAGGGCAAGGAGGTCTCAACCCCTGACATGGAGCCCTGACCTGGGGCTGGGTGCAGAGCTAGTAAGGGATGAGGACACGAGTATTCCAGACAGAGCTCAAAAGACTGGGCAACTGACTGGCTATGGAAGGACAGGGTGGAGGTAAGAAATCAGGATTGCAGGAGAGATACCTAACCCACATAAGGAAATAAACTATTTCAATCATTCTTAAAAGCATTCATCTACATGTTGACAACATATCAGTTGTTTGTATCAGTTGTAAATCATTTGTAAATATCAGTTGTAAATCATTACAAAAATAATCAATTGATGTGCAGTCACAGTACCATTGACCATTTTTAAGGATATTTTAAAAGTCAGTTTTGTAACAACCTTTCACTAGGCAGCACTTTTGTTTTCCTGATTCAAGCACTTAAGGATCAGAGCTCACTGAGTATGTATAGGGACGCAGCATAGTATGAAAGCAGGGAGCTGCTTTCAGTAGCTTTATTCGAAAGATATATCATGTGGCCCAGAGTGTGTGTGTGTGTGTGTGTGTGTGTGTGTGTGTAGGCAGGTGAGCAGCAGGGGGCAAGAGAGAGGATGGGGCAGAGGTGTAGTAAATAAATAAGCCAAATGGGACAGAGGAAATGGAAGCAAGAGTGACTATGGGAGCAGAAGGAGCACTGCCCTGAGAGTCAAGAGGCTCCGGATGTCATCCTTGCTTGATGACTGACTGTGTGTCCTAAGAGGTATAGTTTGGCCTCAGATTATTCATCTGATTATAATAACTAACATTTCTACCACAATTTAAATCTGTAAAAAGCATGTTCACTGCTTGATCCCCTAACCACTCTGTGAGAGAAGTGTCGAAGTTCGCAGAAGGCCAGTGACATACCCAGAGTCACACAGCCAGTCAAGCTGATATGGAAACTCAGTCATTCTGGCTCCCTGACTAGGAGAGCATGTCCTGTGGATTCTCTTTTGCTTGAGTGTCCAGATGACATCCTTCCTAGAGTCAGAAAAAAGGAGGGATGAAGCAGGGACTCTGGGCTGGAGCCTCCTGGGACTCACAAAGCACTGGTTGGTTTGCCAGGCCCAGACATGTTCTGCCTTTTCCATGGGAAGAGATACTCCCCCGGCGAGAGCTGGCACCCCTACCTGGAGCCTCAGGGCCTGATGTACTGCCTTCGCTGCACTTGCTCCGAGGTAGGTTCCTCTGGCCTCCTGTGACAGGTATGTCTGGGAGATCCCCAGGGAAGGGACCCTGGAGGGAAAGAGGACAGCCTGACTTTGGAGTGGGGGGGTACTCTGGAACCAGGCCCCCATAGAACTGTGGTCTGTCAGCAGCAACTGAGGGACTTGGGGCCACACCACTTCACTACTGACTATCTCAGGCATGGGCATAGATGCCTACTGTGGGCCTCCCAGAGATAAATCGCACAGTGGATCAGTGACTGTGCTGGGATGAGGACATGAACCTACCGTCTCTCACCCAGCCTTCTTTCCTGCTGCCACCAGCCTCCTGTACCCATGCAGCAGAAGGCAGAGTCTTCCTGACCTGACTCCCTAATCCTTCCTTTCCTCCTCCAGCGGCCTTTCTTGCCGCCCAGCCTTAGGATGCATTTCCCAGTGCCACTGGTCTAAATGTTTATTTTTTGCAACTTTGCTCAAATGCCACCTCCACCAATAGCTTTACTTGATCCCTCACCTGAAAGTATTTTCTTCTTCTGGAGGCCACATAAGTTTCTCTGCCTCTTTCTCCTGATCACTGTCAACCAGGTACAATGGTTGTCTGTCTGTCAGTTACTGCCCCTCCTCCATGGAGCTCTAGGAGCAGGTCTTCCTGTGTACTTACTCTTGCCCAGATTGGGGTCTTGCCGAAGGCTGCATCAACTAGGGCAGAGACCAGACTTTTTAAAAAAATTTATTTATTTTAATTGGAGGCTAATTACTTTACAATATTGTAGTGGTTTTTGCCATACATTGACATGAATCAGCCATAGGTGTACGTGTGTTCCCCATCCTGCACCCCCCTCCCACCTCCCTCCCCATCCCATCCCTCAGGGTCATCCCAGTGCACCAGCCCCAAGCACCCTGAGAAACCAGATTTTTTTGGTAAACCTCTGTCCTCCCAGCCCACCCCAACCCAGCAGAGGACCTTGTACAGTCAACTAGGTGGGGTAAATGAAACCTGCATGTGGTCCAGAATTCCCAGGCTGGGTGTGGGGCTGGAGGATGGGGAAGGAGAGAGTGATTGAGGAGGCTTGAATCCCCTTGGCCCTGGCTCAGCTGCCGGGGACCAGCCTCATTGGTGTGAAGTCCAGAGGTGTGTCTGTCCAGGTGCTGGTGCTGGAGAGGGGGTACCTAGTTCCAGCTAGAGCCAGCCCCTTGGACCCCTCTTTCCCTGCACAGCCAAGGCTATGAGAGCCTCCCTTGTTAAACCAGTCCTTGGAGTAGGAGCAGAGAAGACCTTCTGAGGAAACACCAGAAGGTGGAGGGGGGTGCGCCAGCCCCTCTCCTGACCCTGACCACTGGGGACTTACTCCCCTGGGGTCTTTTCCTCTGATTCCCCACAGCTTCTACCATGTTGGCCCCTGGTCAAACCTGATGCCAGTGGGAGCACAACCCCCCATCCCTGCCTCCCCTTGGTTTCTTAGCACATCTGAGGCCAATCAGCCTTTTCAAAAAGAACTTTGTGAAATATAGCCAAAAAACAAGAAGGAAACCATAACAGAAAATTCCAGACATATCATGCGGTCCAGTTGACCAAGTCCAAGTTTTGTGATCAGTGGAGCTAATTCATTTCTCCCTCCTTGGAGTTCACACATACCCAGTTTCCTCACCCCAAGGGTCTGTAGCTGACATCCCCAAAATACACTCTGAATTCCTTCCTTCTTTCCATCATCATCACTCCCCCTAATCTAAGCCACCTTCCTCTCTCACCTGGGCTGCTGTGTGAGCATCCCAGAGTCTCCCTGTACCCCTTTTCTCTTTTTTTAATATTTTTTTGGTGTTGACCATTTTTAAGGTCTTTATTGAATTTGTTACAATATTGCTTCTGTTTTAGGTTTTTTGGGTTTTTGGCTGTGAGGCATGTGCGATCTCAGCTCCCCCACAGTTAGGGATTGAGCTCGCACCCCTGCATTAAAGGCAAAATCTTAACTATTAGACTGCCAGGGAAACCCTCTTCCTGTACCCCTTTCTAATCTGTCCACTGCATGGCAGCTCAAAGGATCTTTTCTGAACAGAAAACTAATCATGTCATTCAGAAGCTCTTAAAACCCTTCAATAGCTTGTCATTGCACCTGAAGTAAAATTGAAATTGCCAGCTGTGGGATCTATGCCACCTGAACCATCTGACTTCTGCCTTGTTCTCCAACCTCATCTCCTACCTGCGCCAATGCTGCAAACTCATTCCAGCTTGCTCCTCCACTCGGAATGTTCTTCCCCCAGATCTTCCCAGGAATGGTTCCTTCTCATCTCGCAGTGCACGACATAAAGTTACCTCCTTATGAGGCTTTCTCTACAGCCGTTTCTAAAATAGTCTAACCTTGTTAACACAATCACGTTCCCCTGTTTTATTCCTGTTATAAATTTAACATCTGACATGATCTGGTTCCTCCTTGTTTATTTTTTATAGTCTGTCTCCCTCTCTGCTAGGATGGAAGCTCCGTGAGAGCAGAACTCGTGTCTCTTGCTTACTGTCCCTAGTGCAGAAGAGGACATGGCACCCAGTTGTCATACAGTAAATATTGAGTGAATGAATGAGGCCCTGCTCCCTCCACCTGAGGCATTTTCTGCATCACGGAAAGTGCACAGACCTACGCAGTGCGTCTTAGGCAACCTCTCAGAGGTTCTTTTCTCATTTTAAAATCGTGGATAATAATACGTACCACTAGGGCTGTTGAGAGTATGCAGTGAGATAATACTTTTCTATATAACATAATGCCCCTACCTAGTAGCCATGCAATAAATGGTAGTTATGACTTTCCTGAGAGGTACCCTTTGACTGCAAGGCCTCTCACCTTGCCCCTTCACCTTTTGCGCCCTAGCCTGTTTCCACCTTACTTGCTGCTGCATCTCACTAATCATCTCCATTCCTTGATACTTTCAAGGCCAGAATCAAGAGACAGATTCTAACTCTTCAGATTCCAAAGTTCCTTGCATTCTATCCTAGTTTCTCATCTGAGGGGCTCCATTCACCCTCTGGATGTTTATCCAGCACCCGTGGGTCCCAGGCCTCAAGAAGACCACTTTTAGAGCTCAGACAGATTCTGTGGACTCTAGGATGCCCTTTAGCACTGATTAATCCTTGTGATCACCTCTGGCCATCTTAGGAAGCAGTGACCCCAGAACTAGGGCCTGGTCCAGGGTTCTCCATGGGGCAGGAAGCTGCTTTGGTAGAAGTGTTTTGGGGGCTCTCAGGTGGGCCAAGGGTCTGGAATCTCACTCGGCAACTTCAAAGTTTAAACAAAGCTAACTCCAGTTGACCACGAAAGAGACCATCTCTCCCTCCACTGCTGGTTCTCATTCATTCACTCATTCAGACTTCAGCAGGCACTCACTTGGAGCAAGGCCCCGTGCTGACAATTCAGAGATGAACAGAATGAGGCTTGGTCCTTGTTCCGCTGAATAGAAGAGACAGATGTACTGGGTTGTTACAACCCCGAGCAACACCTCTTAGAGCAGAAGGGAGAGGAAGGTGTGGGCCACCTGAGACAGGCTGACAAACCTCCTGGGAAAACCTCCAGGGGTGGCCTCTCCCTCCAGGTCTTTCATGTCTGCTCATTTTCCTGTGAATGTTTCTCTGCCCCTTCTCTCTCCTTTGCTGTATTTGAAAAAGCCTAAGAACTTCGGGCCCTTCCTCTGGTTCCAGTCCCAAGGCTGTGTGTGGGATCACCCACACCTCTCAGAGACTTAGGGAGCAGATCACAGAGCCCTGAGTCTTCTCCACTTCCCTGTCACCTGCCTTCGTGTGTCACAGTCCTCTGTTAGCCATGAGGCTCAGATCCAGAGGTAAAAGAACAAGTCTTGGAGTTAAGACAGCACAGTCGAGATCAATGTTGAGGAACTTCTCTGGCACTCCAGGGTTAAGACTTTGCCTTCCAATGCCGGGGTGTGGGTTCACTCCCTGGGGAAGCTAAGATCCCACATACCTCAGGGTCAAAACCCAAAAACGTAAAATAGGAACAACATTGTAACAAATTAAAGATTTTTTAAATGGTCCACATTAAAAAAAGAAGATCTTTTAAAAAAAGTCAGTGTCAAAATAACCCAAGTCTTATACTTGAATTTCTCTCCTTTGTCCCTCACCACTAAGGGACACGAGATCTGTGCAAATCCAGGCACGTGGTGTGCTCGTCCGTGGTGGGAAGGGACACAGATGAGTGAGCCACAAAAGTGAGCAGGCGGGAGGGAGACTGGACACGTGGAATTTATCACTTTAATCCCACTGCAGGCTTAAAAGGAGTGCAGCGCCCCATAGTCGGGAGGGGGTTTGAGGAGAGGACAGTGGGAGGCAGTGGCTGTTTGGAAGCAGGACTGACCCCTGTGTCCCCTTCAGAATGCCCACGTGAGCTGTTACCGCCTCCACTGTCCGCCCGTGCACTGCCCCCAGCCCGTGACCGAGCCGCAGCAGTGCTGTCCCCGCTGTGTGGGTGAGTGACCTCGCGTCTGCCCTTGGGCCAGCCTCCCACCGGCCCACTGGCCCTTGACCCACTCCTGACACAGCCAGAGGAGGTCCCTGGAGTGAGAAGGGCAGACTCCAGCCACCAGAGCTGTTGAGACTCCAAGGTGCTCACGGAAGACATCCTCCATGGATCCCCGAGGAGGGCTGGGGTGGCCACAGACCTCTCAGTCTTGAGTGGCTGTGCTTGCCAGGAGGAGGGAGGGAACGTGGAAAAGAGCTGAAGGAAAACAGGCGTGCTTGACCTGTTGATGGCACACGCTGGCTCCGTTCTCTCAGGGGCTGGTCAAAGCCTGAGGGAGTGGATGCACCCGGTGTAAGCGAAGGTGAGTGAGCTGGGACTGGGAGGCCCTGCAGGGTGACCCTGAGATTACCGCCCGGGGCTGGGAATGGCCACAGGAGTTGAAGCATATGTACTCTGAGACTCCTCCTGTGCTGCGGTTCAGAGATTCTAATATGTGCCCCAAGGCTAAATGTCCATGATGTTAAGAATCTACTAATAGCCTCTGAGACTGGGATTCCAGGAAGTAGAGATAAGAGAGGAGAGAGGAGAGGTGATCTGAGAAGAAACCGACATAAGCAAGTGGCAGATGAGGGGCAGTCAGTGGCGTGGCCAACTCAGAAGGCAGGAGATGTCAAGAGGAGGACCCGTGTTTAGTAACATCGAGAAGGTGATAAGCGGAGGGAGTCCCAGGTTGCAGCCTCAGCTCCAGACTCTGGAAGCAGCTCTCTTGGGAGACTAGGGACCTGTGTGGAGTATGGGCATAGAGGGGCTTCTTTTCCAAGTGGGATCCCAGTAGGGATCTGACTGTGACTCCAACTTGGGTCATGGTTTCCTGGCCTGGGTTCACTAGGGGAGCAGGGACTCAAGGCTTCATCCTGACCAGTGAGGGGACATTACACCTCCTCCCAGCTGAGACCGACCCCAGGAGTCCTGACTGCTTCCCGCTGTGCCTCGGCCCTTCTTCCTCCCATGCTCCTCACACCCTCCCTCTTTCCCAGCCTTGCCCCTTTGCCTGACTGGTCTGCATATTCCTCAAGACTCATCTCAGCCATCGGCCCCTTCAGGAAGCCTTCCCTGACCGCCCTTCCCGGCTGAGCTAGGGGTGCCTCTCTTACGCTGCCACAACTTCTGTGCTCCCATCTGCCCTAGCCCAGACCATACCAGTGTCACTGCTTGTGGCCTCTCTCTCTACCCAGTGAGACCATCAGTTTCCTGATACAAGGGCTGGGCCTTATTTACACTCCATTCCCAGCATGTAGCATGGCGCCTGGTACAGAGAAAGTGCTTAGTAAAGGTGTCTTGAAAAAAGGAGCAGGTTCCCCTTGAACTGGAGGGCTATCCCCTCTATCTAGCAGGCTGAGGACAGGCTAACTGGCAGGTGATGGGGAGGGTGTCTGGTGGCCAGGGAGTGGCAGGCACTTACTCCAAGATCAAGCACAGTCCAGATCACACCAGTGAGCTCCACTAGGATGAAACTCCATGTGGAACCTTGATTTGTTCACTTCTGTATCCCCAGAACCTAGAACAGTGCCTGGCACTAGCCAGTGCTTCATGGATGCTTACTGAATGTTGAATGAACTAACACAGGTCTAAACTGAGTGGCACTCAGCGGAGCTGAGGCTTCTGGCCTTGCCTTCTTGCTGCAATCAGAGCCACCTCTGACACTCAGGGGCTTAAAGGCCATGGGTGGGAGTGACATGGTCAGAGAGAAATGTCAAGGTTCCTCTTGATTCATCAAAATGAGGTCTGGCTGGGAAGGCTGAGGCCAGAGCATGGTTTAAATGACAACAAGGGATAAGATACAAACATTTCAGAGAAGTGGCCCAGTTAGTTCTGATAAAGCCCTAGACCATTTTCTTCTTCCTCCTTCCCCTCCCCACCTACAGAACCTCATACCCCTTCTGGGCTCCGGGCCCCACCCAGGTCCTGCCAGCATAACGGGACCACGTACCAACACGGCGAGCTCTTCAGTGCCCACGAGCTGCTCCCCTCCCGCCTGCCCAACCAGTGTGTCCTCTGCAGCTGTACCGTAAGACCTTCGACTCCCCTCTCGTGCAGGCCAGTGCTCTGGGCCCGGGGGGACTGTCCCTCCTAGTCAAAGGGCATGAGAATGAATGGGCTCCAGCGAAGGGAACATCTGTGGGTGGGAACCTCCTGCTCAGGGCTCCCACGCCATCCTGAGCTGCCTGGTCACCTTGAACTGACCCTGGCCATGTCTGTGTCCTCTGTAGGCTGCACTCCTTGAGGGCAGGAGACATACTCAACTCATTTCTGTATCCTGCAGGGCCCCCAGCTCAGGGCCTGGCACATAGCATGAATGAATGAATGATCAGTGATCAATCCTGGGGTGCAGAGACAGGGCCAGACTGTTTGTAGTAAATGTAATTTAATCTGAAGCTAATTAAACTCCCCCTGCTTTGGTCAGAGCTGGGCCTAGGGTCAAGTCAGGCAGAGCTGAACCAGCAGTGTCATCAGGAGACAGAGACTGAAGTCCAGCAGGACCCAGCTTTCCAGGGGAAGAGCTGGAAAGTCTTCCCCTCCTCCTCAGGGGTTCCAGGCATGGCCCTGCTGCACGTTTGTAGGTGGCCTTCAGCATGTCATCCTCACCCTTGGGCTTAGTGCATCTGTGTACTGGCGGGAGAAACCCCTGCTATCTCGATTTCCCTACCACCTGACCAGCAAACTTCTCTGAGCCTCAGTTCTTCTGAGTGTGTAAGGGGGTCTAGGCTTCCCTGGTGGTGCTAGAGGTAAAGAAACTGCCTGCCAATGCAGGAGACATAAGAGACATGAGGTCTGGAAGATAGCCTGGAGGAGGGCATGGCAACCAACTCTAGCATTCTTGCCTTTAGAATCCCACGGACAGAGGAGCCTGTTGGGCTACTGTCTATAGAGTTGCACAGAGTTGGACATGTCTTAGCACACATACATGCACACCCGGGAGTCTAACAAGATGATCTCCAAGGTCCTCTCTGATTAAATAATCACCTGATTCAGCAGTGATGAGAGGGTAAGAGGTCCATTCTAGGTGTCAGACACCCAAGTTTCAGCTCTGACCCTGCCACGGTTCCATGTGTGACCATTAGAGACAGTCATCTCTCTTGGATCTGTCTCCCATCTTTTCAGTGAAAGGATCCCATCACTCTGAGTCTGAATTTCAAGGTATCTGTGCTGCAGAGCAAACAACTTATAATAAGAGGGACCACTTAGAAATCGACCTAGACAATGGTTATTTTTGCAAGGCCTGGGCCTCTTGAAGTAAACTAGGGTACTACATACTGGGAAATGCCTTATGTTTATATACAGTATCCCAATGGCCCTATGAGAAGGCTATCACTAATCATATTTTATAGATAAGAAAACTGAGGCTCAGAGCAATTAAGTGATTGGCTTAAGGTCACATGACTTCCTAGGTGGCACAGAGGTAAAGAATCTGCCTGCTAATGCAGGAGACATAAGAGACTTGGGTTTGATCCCTGAGTTGGGAAGATTACCCAGAGTAGGAAATGGCAATCCACTCCAGTATTCTTGCCTGGAGAATCCCATGGACAGAGGAGCCTGGTGGGCTATATATAGTCCACGGTGTCGCAAAGAATCAGACATTACTGAGCACGCACGTGCGCGCGTGCACGCACACACACACACACACACACACACACACAGAGCTAGTTAAGTGACATACTCAGGATTCAGACGCAGGGCCACATGGTTCCAAACCCACACTCCCTTACCTGTACTGTGCTGCACCTGGATGAAGAGGGGGCTGTGGGAAGAGAGAACTCATGGAAGGGGAAGGTGGTGAGAGCATTCTTGTGATCCCTTGTCCCCTTCCCCTGGATACTTGGGTCTCGCCTTCTTTCTTCTCATCCCTGTTTATATGGGACATGTTTGAAGGATCAGAATCCTCACTTCTGAGACTTGCTGGAAAAGGAATAGGGGAAGGATTCGAAGTAATCTCACTTCCTCCCAGGGACACACTATGCCTTGCAGTTTAAAAAGGGTATTCATAACCGTTCCCTCATTTGATTTTACAACCCAGATGGGAGTGCCCCCATTTCACAGATGAAGAAGTTAAGGCCCAGAGAAGTGACTCACCAAAGGTCATCTGGCCTCCTGACTCCCAGAAGGCCCTTTCTCCTGCAGTCTTTCCTTTCCAGGCTGGGTCCTGAAGTTGGGGACCTAGAGTTTGCATAAGAGCAAGATGGGCCCAAAGAGACATGCAGTCATTCCACTCGTCTATGCTGGGCTCCCTGCTCTAGGCCAGGAGAGAAGGACATTGATAGCAGGAGGAAGAGCCTGAAACATGGGTTCTAGTCCATTCTGCTGGGTGTGTCTCTGACTTCAGGGGGTCCAGGCCCCTCCACAGTGCCTTCCCTTCTGTAGGTTGGGAAAATCTCACCTCACTAGGTTGCTGTGAAGCCTAGGAAGAGCCTGGGTATGAAAAGGCTTAGAAGCTGAAGGATAACTGTTACCTTGGGGCCTGGAGTGAGTGGGAAGCGTGCAAGGACCCTCCTCTGAGCTGCCTGGGTCTTGCCCTGGACACTGTGCTGCTCCCCCTCTGCCCACCTCAGAGGAGACCTCAGGCCATGGACCAGCAGAGCAGGGGCTATCCCAGCCCCAAGGCTGGTCCTCAGCAGAGCTCATCTCCCAGCTCCTGCGTGCTCTGTCTGTCAGGAGGGCCAGATCTACTGCGGCCTCATGACCTGTCCGGAGCCAGGCTGCCCTGCACCCCTCCCGCTGCCCCCCTCCTGCTGCCAGGCCTGCAAAGGTGAGTCTGTCCCTACATCTGGCAGTGTGCACCCACCCACCGCAGGGACCTAGCCATGGACTGTTAGGGGGGCCAGGGGTCACCCAGCCCAATTCCTTCCTCGGTGGTGGCTTAGCTGCACCCCTCAGATAGCTGAGCCTGTGCCAGAGGCTAATGTGCAGTATTTGTATTGTAATTCCAGGGAGCAGGAAGGAGGGGATGGAAAGTGAAGCAGGGAGGGAGGGAAAAACAGCACAGGAATGTGTTGGGGAGCTGGCCTTGACTTGACATCAAGCTCGACCTATTGCTCCAAGTAGCCTTCTGCTCCTCAGAAAGGTCTGGAGGTGATAGAGGGAGAGAAGGAATTGGTCCACCAGCCACCAACTCCCACTGGTCAAAGATTCACCCCAAGGCGGTTCATTCCCTCCCACTCCCCTACTGTGTTGGGCTGTCCTGGGAATGGGAGATGGGAGTGGTGGTGGAGGCCGAGATAAGACATGGGGGCGGAGACATGGAGGAGGCGAGGCATGAGGGCACCTGCTGCCAGATTGAGTGTGAAGGAAGCTGGCTGCAGTCCATGTGAAGAGGGTGCTGTTGCAGTGCCTGCAACGAGGGGACAAAATGCCTGCAGTCAGATGAGGCCAAGAGGATCAGAAGAGGCACAGGAGAGAGATCTGTAGAGCAGAGACCACGTCTCCCCCTGCCTTCCTCATCGCAGAGCTGGGCACAGGCCTGGGTTCACTGGGGCTCCGAGCTCCTGTGTCAAGCAGAATCCAAGTAGCATCTCTGTACAGAACAGAGAGAGGCAACACAGTGGCGAGTGCAGGGTGAACAGCTTGGACAAAATGAAGTGCACAGATGGCCAGACTGTTCCCTGTGGCCTGAGGTAGTCCAGGAAAGCTTCCTGGAGGAGGCAGACCTCGAGGAGGGCAGTACTCCACCGTGGAATGCTTCCCCAGATGTTGGGGTTGTGGAAGAGCACTAGACCAGGAACCAGTTTAGTCCTGGTTCTTCCAGTGAATTCCTGAAGATTCCTTCCCCTCTGTGGGCCTCAGCTGTGCTGTGTGTGCACTGAGACTGCACTTAGTGATTTCTAGCAAGCAGTCTGTTTCCCGTGTTCTGGGTCTTTGAATCCAGATTGCTCAGTGGCAGCCAGACTGTATGTGAGGCAGGGGGAAGGGGGGCTCTAGGAAGCTGCTGGACTTCAAAGGGTTTTGAGTGCTGGGGCCCAGGCGGGTAGAGGATGGAGGAGTCCTAGGCTGTTCCAGTGGGAGCGACAGAGGGGCTAAGGGCAGCCAGGGAGTGTATAGTGTAAGCCAAGCCTGGTGACTTCAGGTGTGGCTGGGCTGAGAGGCTGCTGGGGGACCGCCGCTAAGCAGGCTGTCGGGGTGGGATTCACAGCCCCTATACCATCCGAGACGAGCACTGAATGACATGCTCTGGCCTAGGCAAGGGGTTCAGTCTTAAATGACCAACAGGCCAGCATGGAGATACAGTCTGCAGTTCAGTTGTAGGGATTGCATCAACCCGAAGGTGAGGAGACGTGTAATGAGAAGCCATGGGGCCAAGGGTGCTACTGGTATGGGGGCTGCAGGAGTAGCACCAGGCTTTGGAGGGGCAGAGCCTAGAGGTGAGGAGGCCCGCAGGGCTCCAGCCAGGAAGGTTGAGGAGGTAGAGGCTGACTGGACTTCCTTTTGGGTTTCTAGATGGGTCCGGTGAGAAGTCGGCTGAGGAGGACACCACGCAGTCACACCAAGGAGTGGTGAGCGCACAGCTTTTTGGATAGGGTGGGGAGGGGGGGACGAGGGGGCTGGTATCCTGGGCCTGAATCGCCTTGACTGTGGAGCAGGCAACCCCAGTTATCGTCTTCATGTCTCATTTGTCCCCTGGGTTGGCTCCATTAGCCACCACCAGATTCTAGGTTCCTCTTTAGGCTTCCATTACGCCTCCCATAGGGGCTGGTGAGGAAGGAGGGGTCTGGGGAAAAAAACAAAAACACCACACAGGGCAGAGGCAGGCCTCAAGCATCCTGATTTCCCTCCTGGAAAATTCTGACAGTGTCCTGTTCAGAGCCTGTGTCTGTCCTTATGCAGGCCGCCTCTGGGCAGCATGCCTTCTGAGGGAGTGGGCTCTGACTTGGGCCGGCCTTCCATCTTGCTCCTAAGGTACCAGTTCTCTGGGGCTGCCTCACCTTTCCAGCTCCATCTTGACCCCTCTCCATCTTGGTCTAACATTCAGATGGGCTAAACTGCCTGACTCTCTCTGATCAGAGAGAAAAGAGCCGGGAGAATGGGCTTCCACTGACTCACGTCCCTGTCCACCAGCCGCGCTATGCCTCCCCTCTGAACAGCTCCACCTGCGCTTTCAGCCTGGGTCACCTGGACCCTGGTGCACTCGAAGCGGGACTCCTCTCCCCAGAGATTCCCCAGGGGTCTGAAATAATGAGCTCTCCCTTCTCCTCTGCCAGCTCACCCCCTTCCCAGGCTGGGCCTTCTCTAGGGGGTCTTGACCATGCCACCCACCTCCCTCCCCGTCCCTGCCACAGGTGTGTGTATGCTGTCGCTTCAGCCGTGTCCAACTCTTTGCAACCCCATGGACTGTAGCCTGCCAGGCTCCTCTGTCCTTGGGATTCTCCAGGCAAGAATACTGGAGTTGCTGTGCCCTCCTCCAGGGGATCTTCCTGACCCAGGGATTGAGCCTGTGTGTCTTATGTCTCCTGCGTTGGCAGGCAGGTTCTTTACCACTAGCACCACCTGGGAAACCCCTGTCCTTGTCATAGGAGGCAGCTAAGTGAAACCCACCAGACTTAGCTCCAGTAAGTAGTTCCAGCTATTCACTGAACTGCTGGATGATGTGGGTAAGTCATATAGGGGTGTTGGGCTCTTCCATTCCTTCTGGGTACCTCCTGTGTTCCTTGGCCTGTGCTGGGGCCCAGGACATGGTGTTCACTCTGGGAACTCCTGTGGGCTCAGTCCAGACACTGAAGGACTGTCTCAGAGATTTTACAGTCAGGAAGGGGCTGCAGAAGAAGGAACGTGACTCGGTGTCAGTGAGGGGGTGATAAACTCCACCCCTGCCCCCAGCCCACTTGCTCCTTTCTCAATCCCCAATTTTTGGACCAGGAAGCTCCTGCTCTGTTTCACAGCTGTCTCACATACGCTTTGCTCCCACCGCCAACCCTCTCAAGACCTAATCTGATGGTGTGGGGTTTTGGGGTGTTGGATTCAGAAAAAGGGCTCCTAAATTCCGTCATCTCTGGACAGGACCTGCCCTCAGTCCTCTCACCTGGGGGATTCTGCAGTCAGGTGGGATCTTTGGAGGTCCATTCCCTGTCCCATCACCTAAATCTTCTCAGACAAAGAATTTTCTGATGCTCATCCTCACTCTGTTTCTTAAATATTAAGTTCTCCGGGTCCCTGATCACTTACACTTTTCAGATCAAGACCTCAGCCCCCTCTGCTCACCTCAGCCCCAAGGTTCTGGCACTGCCAGCTGAAGAAGGGCTCGGTGGAGGCTAGACTTCCAAACCACTGGCTTCTGAGAATTTTCAAAGATTCATTGCCTAGGAGTGTCTTTGACCCCATCAGACCTTCCTTCTGCCTAGATCCTATGCCCGGTCACAAGGGCCACCTTCAGGCCTCTCACTGCAGCCTGTTTTTCTGCTTCTGCACTGGCAGTGAACTGTCAGTGATCATCCTTCCTGCCCTTTGCAGAGACATTCCCAGGATCCGTGTTCAGGGGACAGCGGGAGAAAGAGAGACCTGAGCACTCCGTCCCCCACCGGGCCCAGCGCCCCTTTGGGCTTCATCCCTCGCCACTTCCGACCAAAGGAGGCAGGCAGCACCACGGTCAAGATTGTTCTGAAGGAGAAACATAAGAAAGGTGGGAACCAGAGCCTCTGCAGACCCTGAGGTGGGAAAGGGGGCCCCTGTCTGCTCCCACTTCCCATCCCTGCACCTCCACCCAGTGGTTCCCCAGTATCAACTTGGCCATGGGCTGATAGACTCATAGAACCTTAGATCTAAACTTCCATCTGACAAATGAGGACACTGAGGTTCAGAGTACTGAGTTAGACACAGAACCAGTCCTGGAACCAGGACTGCAGGCCATAGAATATTCTTTTGAGCATGATATTGCTGGGAATTGAGAGGCAGACAAGAGAGAGATGAAAATAGTCCCTTTCCTCAAGGGACTCATAGACTAGAAGGGGAGACAGGCATGTAAATCAATTATTACAAGATAAGGAGGTATTGAAGGAAAGGTTTTAATGAAGGAAGGGGGAAGCAGAGCTGGGCTGCAGGAGGATGGTTGGGGTGGCTCAGGGAAGGGGGTCAAGGAGACAACTGTGGCAGCAGACAGGGAGAGAGACCTCACTGCAGGTCACCCTGATCGGTGCAGTAGGAGGAGCCACAGTGGCATCCGTAGCCCCTCTCTGACAGATAGGACACGGAGGCTGCAAAACAGACGGGACCTGCTCGCACTCACATGGCCAGATAGTGTCAGCACAGGTCTCCTCTCATCAGGCCATCCCCCTCCACACCCCACCATAGGTGCCCATGATGGGCAGGAAGGTCTCTTAATCTTCAACAAGAACTTACTGATCCCACCTCTTCCCTGAGTGCTGAGATGGCGGATGTCAGGGACAGGGGACTGGTTTATTCCCTGGCCTCTACTTTACAAGCAGTGTGGCTGGGCCAGACTGGTGAAGCAGGGGCACCCCAAGGACCTACCCCCACCCATTATTGGACTCCAGCCCAAGCCCAAGGTACTGACCCTCCTCCCTTCCTGCCTTCCTTGGCCCAGCCTGTGTGCATGGTGGGAAGACATACTCCCATGGGGAGGTGTGGCACCCAGCCTTCCGCTCCTTCGGACCCCTGCCCTGCATCGTGTGCACCTGCCAGGACGGCCGCCAGGACTGCCAGCGGGTGATCTGCCCCACTGAGTACCCCTGCCAGCACCCCGAGAAAGTAGCCGGGAAGTGCTGCAAGATTTGTCCAGGTACAAAGAGAGCCTGGGGGCAGGGAGGGCACTGGCCAGAGCAAGGCCTGGGTCTCTCTCCCCAGGGCACAGACACGTAGAACATCTCATGTGGGCATGGATAGATGGGGCATGGACTCAGAGTCGTGGGATTCAGGGGCTTTTAGATGCACAGAATGCCAAAAACATAGCAGTGAGAAATGCCCAACTCATAATACTAGACGTACGGAACCATTTCGTGCTACAGATTCAGAGGCTCTCAGACACACACAGAATCAAGTAATGTCCTGGATTCAGTGAAGTCATAAAATCTTAGGCTATTAGGACTTTTTTAAAAAAAAAAATTAATATATTCTTTTATTGAAGGATAATTGCTTTACAGAATTTTGTTGTTTTCTGTCAAATCTCAACATGAATCAGCCATAGGTATACATATATCCCCCCCTTTTGAACCTCCTTTTAAGAGGAATGGTCAACAGTTATTGTGTACTTATTACGTGCCACATAGGTATTTTGCATGAATGCATGCAATCCTTACTACAGTGGACAGGGTAGTCATCTTCATCTCCATTTTACAGAATGAGAAGATAAATACTTTGTCCCAGGTCCTGAAACTGCAAGTGACAGAGTTGGGATATGAACCCTGTCTGTCTTATTCCAAAGACAATGCTCTCCTTTTTTTTTTTGGCCGTGCCATGAGGCTTGCTGGATCTTAGTTTCCCAACCAGGGATTGAACTCAGGCCACAGCAGTGAAAGCACCTAGTGCTAACCACTTAGGCTGCCAGGGAATCCCCACAAAGACGATACTCCTGATCACTGTTGTCTTTCTTCAGTCCTCATCAACATATGGGAAAACTGAGACCCAGAGAAGGGAAGGGACTTTCCTAAGTCACACAACGAAGGAGCAGTGGAGCTGGAACTAGAAGTCCTTCTAAAACCTCTCCCGTATCACACTCATCATCGTCATTACTGCCACCATCACCTCAACCTCTCCCAAACCTTTCCTTCTATGTGCGTTCATTGTGAGCCTGTGTTTGGTGGTATGAGTCACTCAAAAGACTCGATTCCTTCCCTTGACCTTATGGGTCTATTTTAGAGAGAAAACACAGCCGAGCAGTTTTAAGGCAATGCAGGGCAATGTGGGATTAAGGGCATGAGTGGAAGGCATAAGCAGGAAGGTTTTAAAAGCCAAGGGTGGGAGGAAACAGCAGAGGGTGGGGGGAACAAAGCTTTTAGAAGTCAGGCTTCCAGAGTTGCCGGCTGAGTTCTTTCAACAGTGACCCTAGGATTAATGGTTGTGCAGGAAAAAACGTCAGAGCATCTCATTGAGAAGAGCAGTCTGTGACTGTCAGCAGGAGCTGTTGTAAGGGGCAGGCCTGTTCCCTCAAGCCTGGAAGGAAGGCAGGTGGGGTAGAAGGCACTGTCCTGGTCACATCTCTGACAGGGCTGGCTAGCAAAACTGAAAGGAGGAGAACGGGGAGGAAACAGGAAGGAAACGCTGAGAACCGACTGTACGCCCAGTACTGTACTATGATTTCATAGAGTTTACTTAATTCTTCCATCTCAGTTATTTCACAAATGAGATAGCTGAGTGGCTATTATTATCCTAAGTCTCCACCTGCTCCAGAATTTGCTGTCAGGAGATGTGAGTTTGCATGGGCTTGCTCCCTGACATACTTATCTACCTAACTTACTCTTCTAGGCAAAGACAGGTTACTTTACCTTTCTGAGCCTTAGATATAGAGTTGATGAAAGTGCTTTATGAATTGCAAATCAACACCTAGACATAAGGGATAACAATTACTTATAGACTAATAAACAGGATGGGCAAGGTGAGGGAGAAGCATGATGGGATGACGGATGAAGGTTCAACTTGAATTCTTTTTATTTATTTGGCCATGCATGCGGCTTGCAAAATCTTAGTTCTCCAACCAGGGACCAAACCCAGGCCCACAGCAGTAGAAGCGTAGAGTTCTAACCACTAGACAGCCAGGGAATTCCTTTTTTTTTTCTTTATTTTAAAATACATTTCCTCTTTTTTTTTTTTTTTTTTTTTTTTGCTGCACTGCACAGTTTGTAGGATCTTAGTTCCCCAACCAGGAGTTGACCCCAGGCCCCCAGCAGTGAAAACGCAGGGTCCTAACCACTGGACCACCCAGGAATTCTCTTGAATTCTCTATGAGAATGGCTGTGGCTTGCTGCTGGGCTCCTTCACAAACACACATGGTCTTGGGCTCACCCTCAGATCCTACTCCATTTCCCCCTAAAGATATTGAGACAGCTTACGGCTTTTAGCTGGACACCTCAAAGGTCTTCATAACTAGCAAAAGTCTAGAAGGTGGGGAGATGTGTAGGGATTTAGTCTTTCAGTCCCTGAAAGACAATCAGGGAGTACTGACACATGGAAAGTTCTGGGGAATGTCCCTGAAATTCCAGCATGTCAAGGCTTTAGGACTGGATCCACTTTGCAGGATCCAGAAACAAACATTACCACCATCCCCACCCCACCCCATCACCCCTACCACCACCACTACAGTCACCATCCTCACACTTATCACCACCTATTCCATATCACACTCCATCATCATTACTGCCATCAGCGCCTCAACCTCTCCCAAACCTTTTCTTCTGTGTGTGTTCATTGTGAGCCTGTGTCTGGTGATGTGAGTGACTCAAAAGACTTGAAAAATAGGATTCCCACCTTTCCCCCTGTGGGTTTATTTTAGAGAGAAAACATACCCACATGAAATAATTACAAGGCAATGCAAGGCAGCATAGAACTAAGGGCATGAGTGAGAGGCATAAGAAGGGTTAACAAGCTATGGGTGGGAGGTAGGGTGAACTAAGCTGTTCCAGGTGGGCTGTCTGAAGGAGGTGGAAGATGAACTGGGCCCTGAAGGGTGAGAAGTTTTCTGACATGCTAGTCAATGGGAGGAGAATAGGCGAGAGGGCCGCTCTCTGTTCCCCAGAGATCTCCTTGTCTTCCCAGGGGCACCAGAACTTTCCCAAGGACCCTAATGACCCTGAGGGGGATGTCATACTAGTGGTCCCTCTTCCTGGGCTACCAGGAGTGGGGACACAGGGCGTTCACAGCTCCTTGTCTCTCCCAGAGGACAAGGCAGACCCTGGCCACAGTGAGATCAGTGCCACCAAGTGTCCGAAGGCATCGGGCCGAGTTCTCGTCCACACGTCAGTATCCCCAAGCCCGGACAACCTGCGTCGCTTTGCCCTCGAGCGTGAGGCCTCTGAGCAGGTGGAGATCTACCTCTGGAAGCTGGTAAAAGGTGAGCACTGGCCCATTCCCACTCTGGCCTGTCCCCCTTCCTGTGCTCCAGCCGCCCCCCTCCCAGGGGTGTTAAGGGAATTGATTAAGTGCCTCTGGCCCAAGAAGACCTGCCTCAGGTCATCTTCCAGCTCTGAGTCTCAGATTCCAAGATAGAGGGAGACAGTGACTCTGACAGTTGAGATACTCTCACCCACTCTGAGATGTCAGGGCCTTGAAGTGCTCCCTCTCCTGGGGGAAAGGGGTTGTTACACTTTGTGAGGAGCCAGGGCAGAGTTACGCTTACCCAGATGAAACAAAGAGCTGTCGATTGGTAGAATTTCAGCAGACTGGGAGGAGAGATCTTTTCAGGCAGGAGGGCCCTCACAGCATCCTCAAATCCTCAAGGCTAGTCTCATCTAGCCTTTCCTTTATGGTGGATCCTAGCCCTCTAAGGTAAGTCGACATATTTCTCATTCTGTGAGAAACTTACCCTCTTCAGCAGGCTGCTTCTATCACCAACTGAAGGTTAAGAGAAGGGAATTGCCGAGAATTCAGCTTTGGGGCTCTTCTTGTTAAACATAAATCCCCTGGATAGAGTAAAACAAATTAAACCTTTAACTGGGAATTAGTTCTAGGGTCACTTTTCTCTACTGGTGTGGTTGGCTGACAGCGGGGAGGTGGGGGGAGTGGGGGGTGGAAGAGGGAGTGATGACAATGATAATAACAACCAATGTGTGAAGCACTTTGAAATTTACAAAGTGCTTTCATGTTCATCATCTCATTTGATCCTCAACGATCCTGAGAGTTAGGTATTATTATCCCCATTTTACAGATGAGGAAACTGAGGCTCAGAGAGGTGAAGTACCTGGCCCAAGGCCACACAGCCAGTAAGTGGAGGAGCTAGAGCCCAGGTCTTGTGACGTCAGATGCGGCTCCTTCCCTGCTCTACTCTGCCCCCTGCCGTGGGAGGAATGGACCAAGAAAGCAGAGCTGTTCAGCCTGGAGAAGAGAAGACTCAGGGCAACAGGACCGCTGGCTTCATGGCTCTGAAGGACTGTCCCAGGCAGAGGGAGCAGTTGTGCTCTGAGTGGCCACAAGGGTCAAAACAACAAGCAGGGGCTTTGGAATCAGACAGACCTAGGTTTGAATCCCGGCTCTGCCATTTCTTAGCTGTGTGGCCTTGGGCAATCACTTGACCTCTCTGGGCCTCAAATTTCTCTTCTGTGAATGGGGGAGAAGGGGCTTGAGATGCTTAAGTGAAATGACATAGGTACCACCCCTGACCCATAATAAGTGCTAAAAATGTCTGCATCCTTCTCATCCTACCTCATCAGTCGGGTTAGAATGGCAGAGAAGCAGGTTTCCCTTAAATGAGAGGAAGCGCCTTCTCAACCTGAAAGTCTTCCTGCAGTGGAAGGGAGGGATCAAGTTCCATTCACGGAAGTTTGTAAGCAAGGGCAGGGAGGGGACTTGACCAGAGGCTAAGGAGGTTCAGTAATCGTATGGTTGCTCTGAGCCTTGGGAGTCCATCAGTCCCTGGACTGGTGGGGTTGCAAGTTTATCCTCCCCACCCGCTCTGGCACTACAGAGAGTAACAGGCCGAGCCTCTGTCCTCAGGACCTCATGGCTTGCAGGAGCTCCCTGGGAGTCGAGCTGGTCAGGAAAACCTTCATGGAGGGTGGGCCTGGGCTGGACAGGATGTAAAAAGGCAAGAGGGGCACACTACAGCGACAGCTTCAAACTCTGGCTCCAGAGCCCGTGCTTATATGTCCGGCGCTCTGTGACTGGTGAGTAGCAGGTACTATGTATAATGTGTGCAGTTCACAGACATAAGAAACCTGAAGGGTATGTATTATATTAATTCCCCATTTTGCAGATAAGAAAACTGAGTCTGAGAGGTAAAATGACTTGCTCAAAATCACACAGTTTAAACAGTAAAGCAAAGATTCAAACCCAGGTCTTACTGTCCCCAGTGCCAACTCCACAAAGGTGACCTTATGCTTTTAGGGAAGGACCTGAGGAAGGTGCAGGTTGGCAGAGAGAGGGGGAGGTCATAGCTCAAGGCCAAATCTCATTACCAGGGACACAGTGAAAAGGTAGAAGTAGGAAAGACTCTTCAATTTCACAATGCCAGGCCCTGCCACCCTCTCACTAGCAAACCTGCCCACCCCACCACCTCCTAAGCCCCTGGGTGGCTGAAATACCCCATCAGCACCCCACCCCATTCCCTCCCTGCCCCAGACAGAGAAAGTCAAAACAAACTCTCCCAAGGGCCGATTGTCAGTGGGAGACCGTTACTGTTTCCTCACCCAGACAAGTGGAAACAGCAGGCCTGGGGGCCAGGAGAGGAAGAGGAGAATTGACCTGGAGACAAAGTGAGCTAGAAACTGGGCTGAGGCCACACCAGAGTAGGGCCGGCCCCAGGCCCAGAGTCTGAGCAGAGAACTGGCTTAGTGTTAAGGATTTTTCAATTCTAGCATTTCAGGAGTAGAAGGAACCTCAAGGTTCTCAATTCCTCCCCCGACCTAGGGAAGGAAGGCCCTCTGTTAGCCTCCATGATGGACTCCAGCCCCTGACTGCACTCAGCCCCTCCCTACCTCCAGACAGGTGGTTCACTTGCCATTCTAGGAATGGCTCTGCTCGAGAAGCTTCTTCAGTAAGCTGAGCCTGTCCCGTCTCTTGGAACTCAGCCACCACTACCCCTCCGCCTGGGACACAGAGTCCAGCCACTCTCAGGCCTGGCACACCCTTCACAGGTCAAAAGGCACAACCATGACCCTCAGACAAGATCTTGCTTCTAGGCCCAAGAGCCCAGACCTTTCAATCACACTTTACAAGTGACAGCGTGGAGACCTCCCTCCTCCCAGTCACTTCTCCAATTTGTGTTTGGGGGTTTGTGCAGTGGCAGGCTGGGGCACCAGGACCCATCCCCATCTCATACTTGTGATGTAGCCTCGGCCTCTGGAGCAAGTCTCTCCCATATTCTCTCCCTGGCACCTGGGCGGGGGGCCTGAGCACAGTGCTGGGCATTCCCAGCTTCCTGGAGCTCAGTTCCAGGACCAGAGCAGTCCGTGCCCCTAGGTGGGATCCCACCCGGACTCCCATAAGCAAGGCCAGTTCTTGGTTTTCTTGAGGGTGGTACTGGCCTAGCAGAGCCTTGCTGTCACATCTGTTCTTTCTGGCCACAGCCCCTGGTGGTAACAGCTGGTGCGACCTCATGGCCCAAGTGCTCAGGGTTTTGCACCATGTGTGGTGCCTGTGGCCAGCTCCCCGGGGGATACAAACATCAGGAGATCCAACTAATATCTCATTCCCCCTCAGGGCCTGGCCTAGACAGGGTACACATATATTTGCTTATCCATGCATCCAGGGATTCATTCATTCAGCATGCCTAATGTGGACCAGGTTCAGGGAACCCAAGAAGAGAGTCCTCTCTATTCCCAGTCTGGTGGAAGAGGCAAGAACAGACACAATGATAGCATGTTAGAAATAGAAACAATCACAAACAGTAGCTAAGAGCTGTGGGTAACCCAAGGAGGAAATTATAGCTATTTAAGGGAGGAGGGAGAATCAGGAAGACTTCCCAGGTAAGGCTGGGAGGATGAGAAGTTCACCTGTGGCAACAGAAGACAGAGTTTGGCAGAGGGGATGGCAAATGGGAAGGCTTGACCCCTTCAGGGACCTCAAGGAGTTGGTTAGGGCTGGAGCACAGGCAAGGGATGAGGTGAACTGAGCCTTGAGCTGAAAGGGAGCCTACAACCCTGACACCTGTAGTGCTTTGGTGTCTGAAGCAAATCACCTGTTGATTTTTATCATACATTCTATGTCCAGAAAAAAAAAAGACTGATCAGGCCCTACAGGCCTGGCAGCTTCCCTCCCTCCCTCTCTCCTTTCCTCCTTGCCCCTCTGTGTTGTTGACAGGTGAGGGGTGTGAGCACAGGATGATGGTGAGAGGAGCAGGGTCATGGAAGGAGGCGGTGACAGGGTAACAGGCATGTTTTTCAATGCCTGCAGCCAGGATCACAGATGAGAGGCGGGGTTAAAGGTCAGAAGTCTAGGGTAGTGACCCAGGTAAGATGCGATGGGGCCCAGAGGGGAAGGGTGACACTGGGGGATAGGGTGAACAGATTCAAAATATTTAGGAAACTGAGTCCACAGGATTTGGTGTCTGGTCAGAATAGGGGAGGGAAGGGAGGTGACTGAGTCTGTCCTGTGTCTAAGTCACCCCGTTTCACTGACCACACACCCTCCCTTTCCTGCTCATGCCCTTGTCTTTGCCCTCAGGAATCTTCCACTTGATTCAGATCAAGAAAGTCAGGAAGCAAGACTTCCAGAAAGAGGCACAGAACTTCCGGCTGCTCACCGGCACCCACGAAGGTGGGACCCTGGGCTGAAGACGGGGGCCTGGGAAGAGAGTCGGGCTAGAAGCTGGGGCCTCCTGGGGAGTTCCAGGCTGCTGGTGCAGGGAGGGGGGTGCTGTCAGCCACAGACGTCAGTTCCCGGCACAGGAATCCAGTGGGTGTCTGGGCCAGAGATTTCCCAACTCAGGCGCTCGAGAGCTCGGGAGTGGGAAGGTGAAGCAGAGCCAGCTGGATCTGGTCTTGGGGCAAGGGAGACAGGGCTGTCAGAGGGGACTCTGAGCCCCTAAATCCTGGTGCTGTGTAGCCGCTCTATTGGAACCTCTCCCACTGAAACCTCCTAACCACGTTCCTACAGAGGCCCCCGGCTTACTCCTTACCACCCTGAGGAAGATAGACCCAGGTGGGTGGGGAGGAAGTCACAGAGGGGAGGGTCACCGACAGGTGTCAGGTTGAAGGTGGGCTCCTGTGCCAGAACCCTTGGGATTATGGGGGCAGGATGGGGTCCCCATCTCCTTCCCCTCTGTGGGCTTCAAACCCAGGCTACTCGTTCCTCTTTGTCCCAAGTTTTCCCCACCCCAGTCACCCTGCCTCAGTTGTACACATGTCTGCAGACGCACACACCACATACACACCTTACACATACATACTCTGCACACCCACACACAACTCTTCCTCTTTTCTCCATACAGGTCACTGGAACGTCTTCCTAACCCAGACCCCGGAGCTGAAGGTCACGGCCAGTCCAGATAAAATGACCAAGACCTTATAACAAAGATCTGAACAGTTGCAGATATGAGCTTTATCATTTTTGTTGTTTTATATTAATAAATAAGAAGTTGCATTACCCCTCAACCCTGCCTGTTGAGTCCATTTCCAGTCTCTGCGTGTTCTCATAGTGATTACAGGCAGGCCTGGTTATCCCCATTTTACAGGCCTGGGAACTGAGGTGCAGAAGGGGCAGAGGCTGTCCCCAGTCCTCCCAGTGAGTGGCTTTGAGAGCCAGGGCTAGTACCCACCCCATCGTGGCCCCCTCCCCCCTGGGCTGCTGCTATCCCCAGCCCCCCTTCCCATAACTTTTTGGCACTGAGCCTAGTGAGGGGGACTAACTAGTCAGCCAGCCGAGGGGTGTGCACGGAGCCTCAAAGTACTTTCCCAGCAGATAGGGCAGGGGTCCTGATAATCGTCAGCTACACTTTACAATGAGGACACAGAGTTGGGAGAGCAGGAATTTGCCTGAAGCCACAAGGCAGGGCGGTAGCAGATTTGGAATTGTATGCCAGGTCTCTTGCTCCAAGCTCGCACTCCTTCCCGTTCCACCGTGACCAATGTTATAAACCCGAATATTCTCACCTCAGAGGCTTTCCAAGACTTGGCAGTCAGATTGCCAACCTTGGCACCACGGTCTGGGAAGAAGGCCTAACAGTTACAATTAAAGACAACATCAGTCATTTATCCTGCCCATGGGTACAGTTCCTTTCCCTTTCAAAGATGTTTTAATGCCCGTGATTCTGCTTATGGTGAACAATATAGGAATTACTCTCATTTTAGAGAGGAGAAGACAGAGGCTCAGGATCGCCCAGTGTCTTCCCCAAAGCCTCACAGTGATGAGTGGTGAAGCCAGGACCAGAGCTGAGACCTACTGACTCGCAGACCTGTGTTCTCACCTGCAGTCACATGTCACCCCCATTCCCAAACCTGATGGGAAGCCATGGAGAGATGGTGTCAAGTGGCCTGTGAGCTGGATTTTGCCACCTGCAGCCACTTGGCTCTGCTCCGAGCCCCTGTCTTATCCCTGGGCATCTGAGGTTGCGGAAGTCAGCTGAGCTGCCTCCCAACACTGGCCTCACTGAGCAGGGAGGGGTATCATCCTCCCCCAAATACCCCTGCCCACTCCCCAGGGCCTTTTCTAAGACAGTGGGGTTTGAGGAATATGCCTGGAATCTCCCCCTCATCCTCGGAGTAAGAAGACATCCAGCTCCTCCCAGCTTCTGCCTGTCCCTCCTGGAGAAGACTCCTCATTCCAGCCTTGCTTGCTCACCCTGTGGGGTTAAATTGAAGTCCAGGGTGGCTTCTGAATCTCCTGAGTTGAAAGCCCAGGAGTCAGTTAACACCAATAACTGGTCATCCTTCAGCCTAACTCAGATGTCTTCTACTCAGTGGAGATTTCCCTGCCTCCTGGAACCCATCCCTGTCCCTCCCAGCACAGGGACCCCTTCCCTCACTGGAGAATGGGATTGGAGGCAGGGATCTGTGAGCAGAGGCATTTCCTGGACCTCAGGACAGGAATGACTTCCCCATATACTTGTCCTGGTGTTGCAGGCCAACTGCCTCCCTGGTTTCTCTAATGGACTTATTCGAAAATTGTGCTATATACCCCAAATCCTTCCCACCGTGGGAGGCATGTTCAGCACATCAGAACCTCCTGACTTTGGTCCAGAGCTTTCTGAGTGTGTCAACACATTCAGAATCTCTAAGCAGCTAATCTCTCCCAGGGTTTGACATCCCTCTGAGTTGTCTTTTCCTTCTCTTTATTCATTCTTAAAACAGTTTCTGAGCTACTCTGGTCTAGGCCTTGTGCTAGATGACCAACACGATATAAGGAACCAACATGGTTCCCTGCCTGTCCTGAGTGAGCCAAAATCTTGAGCAGGAGATGAGTCTTTACAACACCATGAGTGCAAGGGCTGTGACCACAGGGCCATGGGGAACACAGCCCCTGCCCAGATGGAGAACACTTCACTGGGTCTGAAGGATAAGCAGGAGTTAGAAGAAAAGGTGGAGGGGAGGGAGGGAAAGTTAGGTGGACAGTGGCACAGGAAGAGATCGCTGTGGGGAGATGAAAAACAGCTTCTTACAGGGAGGACCACAAACAGTTCACTGTTGCTGGATAATAAAATGTGAGGCAAAGAGCAGAGGGAGGTGAGGCTGAATACCTAGCCGAGAAGCTTTGGCATCACCCCGAGGGCAGCAAAGAGCCCTGGAAGGGTTTCAGTGCTTCGGTCAGGTTTGTGGTTTAGAGAGCTGGCCCTGCCTGCTGGTGAAGGGCGGGGTGGAGGAGTGAGACGGAGACCAGGTAGGAGGCTGTTGTGGGATCCAGGGAAGGGAGGACAGTGCCTGGGCAGGAGAGAGGCGCTGGGCTGGGATGGATGTCAGGCTGAGGAAGAGCAGGGAGTCTGGTGGAGCTGGTGCCTCATGGGGTGGCTGAGGGGAGAACCCAGGAGTTTCAGCTGAGCTGAGTCTCGGGCGAGAACCCCAGTCCTTTAGGTATATTATGGTCCAGAAAGGAGGCTGGACCAGAGACAGAGATTTGGGAGCTGTTGGCCTGCAGGTGGTAAACTAACACCTGGAGATGGGAGATGCTGGCCTGGGAGAGACTATAGAGTGAAAAGAGAAGGGGACTAGGACAGAGCCCTGGGGCATCAGCAAAGGAACCGCATGGAGGCAAGAGAGAAGTCATGAGAGTGCATGGCTGAGTCCAATAGATGAGACCTCAAAAGGGCTCTCCATGGGGAGAGGGGGCTTGTGGGGACCATGGCAATGGGCCATGTCAGGGGAGCTGGGAGGCAGGAGAAGGTTGTGGGGGGCTGAGGCAGTGTCTGGGGGGTGAGGAAACAGATTGAGTGTGACAGAGGAGAGAGAGGCAGGGCAGTGGCTGGCAGTAGACATAAGATAGAAGAAGTGGGTTTTTCAGACAGGATTTAAGCAAGTCTTGGTGATGAGGAGACCTCACGGGAAAGGAAAAACTAGAAGAAACAGGAGTGAGGATGGAGGAAGGGAAGGTTTAGGAACAAGTTAAGATCAATTCATACCAGGGGCTTTCCTGGTAGCTCAGCTGGTAAAGAATCCACCTGCAATGCAGGAGACCCCGGTTCGATTCCTGGGTCGAGAAGATCCCCTGCATAAGGGGTAGGCTCCCCACTCCAGTATTCTTGGGCTTCCCTGGTGGCTCAGCTGGTAAAGAATCCACCTGCAGTGTGAGAGACCTGGGTTTGATCCCTGGGTTGCGAAGATAACCTGGAGAAGGGAACAGCTACCCACTCCAGTATTGTAGCTTGGAGAATTTCATGGACTGTATGGCCCATGGGGTCACAAACAGTCAGACACGACTGAGTGACTTTCACTTTCACTTTCCATTCACTTTCTATTCCATAGTGATTTTCCATTCTTCCTTCGTCACCAACTTGCTGCCTAATCCTGGCTGCGCTCCCCATGAGTGTGATGGGGAGGAGGATGGAGTGGTCTCCAGGTGCTCCCCAAGACTGCTGTAGGGAGTCCCGTGGGATCCGCCATCCTGCTTGGTGTATAGCCCTGGGCATAGCCTGGGCTCTGGATGAAGCATGTACATGCTTCCCACATGCACGGTCAAATCCAATGTCTCATCTGATGCCCAGGACGACTCAGTGAGGTGAAGACTGTCAACTACACAGTGAAGAAGAAACTTCTGGGAGAGGAAGTGACCTAATCAAGATCACACATCAGTAAATGGAGGGGGTTGTGGGGGTGGGAGTGGGTTCCAGAGGGAGGTCTGGGATTCTGCACCTGAAGGATCCCAGAGCACTGGAAGGACCAGGTCTTGGGCTAGGACAGGCATAGCCTCTGCTACACTCAACTTTGTCACGTAGCTTTCTGGCCTCCAAACTTGATCATGCTGTTAAGGCCAAGCCTGGCCTCCAGGTTTCCTGGAGAGGCTCCCTCCTCCTCCTCCCCTCCTCCTCCTCTACTGTGAAGCCACCTCCCCTTGTCCCCTCACGAACCCTGGGCTCTGGGAAATGGCACTATTTCTGAGAAACAGGACGTGGCCTGTGGTTTGGGGCTGGCCTGGGGGTGAGGGAAGGCCTGGGGCTCCACCAGGCACAATGGCATCTCTCTCCAGGGCAGGCCTGGCCACCCTCCTTCCCCTCACCCTGGTCCCTGGAATAGACCCACTGCCGGCCTTCTTCTCCTGCAGGGTCAGTTTGTAGAAGATGAACAGGAAGTGCCTTAGGAGGTCGGCTGAGGTTGGGAAGGGGTGGGGTGGCATGGGTTTCTACCCACACGAATTATCTTCAAAGTCAAAGTGTTAGTTGCTCACTTGTGTCCGACTCTTTGTGATCCCATGAACTAGAGCTCACCAGGCTCTTCTGTTCATGGGATTTCCTAGACAAGAATACTGGAATGGGTTGCCATTCCTTTTTCCATGAGATCTTCCTGACCCAGAGATTGAACTCGGGTCTCCCACATTGCAAGCAGATTCTTTACCACCTGAGCCATGACCTTCTCTAATGGGAACTGGGACGAGGATCTCTGGCCCCCAGCTCAAGGCTGTTTGAATGACCACATGACATCTAATGTCTCTCTCTACACTTATCCATCCCCAGCACAAAATAGAGCCCACATAATTTGCCCAAAGTCAAAGAGCAATGAAGAGCTGGGGCTGTGACTGGAACCCACAGGGTCTGACCCCAAAGTCTGCCCCTTCCCTCTGGCTCATGATATCTGGGGTGAGGATGAGATCTGTCTTCTCACAAGCCCCCTACCATCAGCCTCTCCTCTTTACCCCTTCTCCTTCCTACCAAGTCTTGTCTATCAAAACAGCATGATTTTAAAAACACAGATCTCACCCTGTCTCCCCTCCATTAAGCACCTGCTTTAATGTCTTCCCTTTGTCCTCAGAATAGTATCGAAACCCCCTCTCCTGGCCCTTGGGGATCTGGCTCTTGCTGCTCCAATTCTCTCACCTCTTCTCCCAGCTGCATCCCAGGGTCCAGTTTGCTGCTTCATCTGATCAAG